CCAAAAAATTTTGAACCCTCGGTCAGTTTAGCAGCCCCGGTGGGTTCTATTTTGGGGGGGGGGGGTTTAGAGAGAATTTCAAAAGTTGAATAGTTGAATAGTTGAAGAGAGAATATCAAGAGAATATCAAAAGTTGAATAGTTGAAATAATAGATTGAAAGTTGAAAATATAGATTGTCTGTTGCAATAGTTGAAAATGATTTTCAACTTTGCGAAAGTTGAAAGGTCTCTTCGACTTTTACACTACTCGAACCATAAGGGTATTGTACACTTGACCCAGCCGAGTTTTAACTGGGAGAACAAACCATCGTGTAGTACGTGGTCAAACAGCATGGACTGCGTCAAAAGAGATTTTTGGCCAGTAGAATTGATTGGATGAAAGGTTCACAGAAATTTACTTTCGAGCTTTTAGGCATAAATCCAAAAGGTCACCTGGATTCTTCCAGTCAATTCTAAGAAAAAAGCAAAAAGTGCCCTCTATATCTCAGAATTGACTGGAAGAATCCAGGTGACCTTTTGGATTTATGCCTAAAAGCTCGAAAGTGAATTTTTGTGAACTTTTCATCCAATCAATTCCAGTGGCCAAAAATCACTTTTTGACGCAGTCCATGCCGTTTGTCCACGTACTAATGGTGAACTTTCATTAGTACGGGTCGATTTGAACAAGCCAACTTTTAATAGGGTGCATAAACCATGATCGATCAATCATGAACTTTCTTTAGCTGAGGTCGACTTGGAAAATGGGGGTATTGTCGACTTGAGCCAGGCAACTTTTAATAAGGTGAATAGACCATGATCGCAAACCTTCTTTAGTTCAGGTGGACGTAACCAAGTCAACTTGTATTGGAGTGATTAAACCATGATCGCAAACATTCTTTAGTTGAGGTCGACTTGAACAAACCAAGGTTTAGTTGGGTGAGTAAACAATTATCGCAAACTTTCTGTTGTTCAAATCGAGTTGCATCACGAGAGTATTGTCGACTTCACCCAGCCAAGTTTTAATACGGTAAATAAACCATTATCGCACACTTTCCTTAGTTCATGTGGACTTGCGCCATGGGTGTATGGTCGACTTGACGCGGCGATGTTTTAATGTGGTGAATAAACGATGATCGGAAACTTTCTGATGTCGATTTGAACGGTGGGGGTATTGTCCAGTTGAATCAGCCGACTTTGAATCGCGTGGACAAACGATCATCGGAAACTAATTGATGAGAAAACGTTCTACCGACTCGGTCCACGTGCTCTTCAATAGCCGTTATGTATGGACAACCTGAGATCCACAAACAGAATTTTTCCCCTCGTCCAATCATTTCTACAGTCAACACTTACAATTACCAATTATCAAAATTTCTTGCCGCTCACATCACGCAACACGGACCTCTACCATCATTCTCGTTTATCAAATATTCATTTGGTTTTGTGAAACGAATTTCGAAACTCAACGAAAGTAAAATTCAAGTATTATGTTCATTTGACGTCGATAGTCTGTTTACTAAAGTACCAATGAATGAAACAATTAAAATAATTTTAGAAATGATCTATAAAAATGGAAGACCAGCAGACATCCCATTGAACGCTAGCAGTTGAAAGAAGTATTGAAATTATCTGTCAAAGACATACCATTCCCTTTTATAGATAAGTATTACATACAAGGTGATGAAATCGCTATGGGATCACCCTTATCTCCGATTTTTGCGGATATCTTCATGTCTGATCTAGAACTAAAAAGTAATCGATTCTCAACTAACAAACCGTTAGTGTGGCTGCGGTATGTCGATGATGTATTTTGCATTTTCAAAACTACACAGAACATTCTGGATTTTCTGACAAGGATAAACAAATGGCATGAAAATATTAAGTTCACTGTTGAATAGGAATCGAGTGAACAACTGCCTTTTCTCGATGTACTTGTCGTCAGAAATTCACAAACTGATAAATATGAAACGACGGTCTACAGAAAAGCTGCTCATACTGATTTATACCTGCTTTACGAGAGTAACCAATGTCGCAAATACAAATTAGGATTTATTAGAACGATGATAATTCGACTGCTGATAATATGCTCTACTGATTATTACAAAAAGGATGAATTAGGGCGATTGAAAGATGTACCACGTGTTACCGGATGTCCGGAACATATAAAGAAAGGAATTCGTGAAGGTGAAATTGTAACTAAAAACATAATCAAAAAGCAACAACAGCCTGCACAGACAAATACCAGCTCCTACTAAGAAACGAACTGTGTTCTTTACTCTTCCGTACTATGGTATCGAATCTGATATACTAGCAGAAAGATTGAAGAAGATCAGTAGAAAACTTTTGCCAACAATTCAGTTAACCCTTTGAGGGCGGACTTATTTTTTTCCATAAAAAGTGAAGTTGAATTGCCAAAATCAATTATACTTTCAAAGTTAGCACCGATCACAACTGCTTTACTGATTAGAGTTGATTTAAAGATGCATCCGGTTTATTTTGGAGTGAAAAAAACACACGACAGGGAACAAACCTAAAAATTTAACAATGTGTGAAAATCCTTAAAACAACCAACTACGCAAAGACCAACATCACAATCTGCACACATATAACGTGAATCTGTTCTTTTTGTAGGTCTTTTTTTAGTATGTGCACATACGATACAAATTTTCTGAGGATTTTTTCTTTCCGTTGTTTGAGGTACAAGAGAAGGAAAGTGTCTAGCAGTAAGTCTAGTTGGTTTCCAACTTTGAGTAGGACGTCCTATTGTAGTTTTTGGAGTATGATAAGTTTGTAAAATTTCACGTATAAGTTGTAAACGAAAGTCTACCAGTTGAGGTCTCTTTCCAGTTTCCATTTTGTACAGCAAATATGAGTTGAGGACTATCAGATCGAGCATATGAAAAAATAATTTTTTATACCATTTGGCAGATTTTCTTACACATTCAACAAAACTGGTTTGCATATCAACTTTATCGATTGCTCCTCTATTAGAATTATAATCAATTACTGAAATTGCTTTTTGAATTGATCTTTTAGTTTTTGGATCATTTTTTTCCGGTAAATCCTATACGAGGTTCATGGATAGTAGATAACATTATAACTTCTCTTTTATCAAACCATTTTAGAGCCAACATGTTATCTGTGCTTTGATAAACCTGTTGACCTTTCCCAGGTTTATCTTCAAACTTAGGTAATCTTGCTCTATTTGCTCTTGCAGTACCACATGCACCGGTGGATCTTGTATGTAACTTTTCAAAAAGTGTAGGACTTGTAAACCATCTATCTAAGAATAAATTATAACCTTTATCTAAATAAGGTTGCATCAAAGTCATAACAGTTGAACCAGAAACTCCGAGATCTGGGAATCGCATTATGTCAGATGTAGCGCCTGTGTAAATAATGAAATCCAGAACCATTCCAGTGCGAACATCACATATCACATATGTTTTTATCCCGAATCTGCTCCTTTTAGATGGAATGTATTGTTTAAAACTAAGTCGACCTTTCCACAACACCAAGCTTTCATCGATACAGATATTCTGAGAAGGAACTAAAACTTCTCTGTATCTCTCCCGTAAATAAGTAATTATTGGTTTGATTTTATATAGTTTATCATCAGATGGTTGATATTCATTGTGGTTGAAGTGTAGAAATCGAAAAAGCAAACGAAATCTGTCTCTACTCATGATCTCCAAACATAGGTGTAGAGATCAGTGGATCAGTAGACCGGTTTTCTTTTATTCGACTTTTTCTTGTATGGGCCCTTAGCATAAAAGTTGCAAAAAATATATACATTTCGGGTCCGGTAGCTTCAATTACTTGTTGATATCTTTCAGGTAGATTTTCGTGTTGGACTGTATACAAATGATATTTATTTGTTTCTTCAACAATTTTTTGCATCAAACTGTGGTCAAATATCAAAAGAAATAATCCAGTGGTCTATTTTCATTATCTTTTGGTAAATATGAATTGAGACCAGAGGCACTTGAGTCAAATGTGAATCTTTTCGGCTCAAACCGCTTCACTCTCCATCTTCGATCTTCAAAAGATTCCTGTGCATCCTATTCGCCATCTTCATTATCGGATTCATTATCAAAATGGCAAGCAGAATCACTGCCTAATTCATCGTCTGATTCGAAATTTGTAAAACTTTCGGCAACATCTGAATCAGTTGTACTACTAGATGCCATAATAATCCAGAAAAATATTCCAGAATATGCAAAATGAGTCAGCGTAACGAATAAAGCTGAGTAATAACAATCACTATTATTGCCGTCTCTTTTTGAATATAATTTTATTCAATCACTGTATATGATTTACGTGATAAGGGCATTCCTATTTATACCACTTCAACGGAATATTCTGGAATACTAATTAAAATGATTGGTTTTGTATGAATCATCGAAAGTACCTTACAAAAGAGCCCCCTAGTGGTCACAACATGTCGCTAGTGAGTTTCATCAATTGATCTCTGAATACTACAGAAAGAACTAGTGAATAAAAGCGTTATCACCCTATTCAGTTTGAAACCGTAAATTTACGGGCTTCGCCGTCAAAGGGTTAACAAAGTCAATACATCAGTTTTATATGGTCCGGAAAAGGACGAAGAACTCTGGAGGGGAAGGAGAAAGAGATCCATAATTTAACAAGGAAGATCGGGAGGCAAAGCTGAGCACATACAGACAATTTTTGGTAGCGATTTGAGATATTGTCGAAAGATGTCAAGTCTTCAACCTGCTCCGCTCTATGCCGGTGTAGGACAGAACTTCCACAAAACGGTTTTCGATGAAACTCGATGTTTTTGGTGTGTTGTTCTATAAACCGATGATTATTAAAGCTAGAAAACTCGCTTTTTACTGAATCAACGCTATGTATAAACGTTGCGCTCCTTCAATTGATTACAAAACAAACAGATACTATAGAAAGTTTTTTACACAATGACCAAAGATGGCATCTTTTGCGGATTGCTAACAAATGTACTTTGTAACCGTTATAGGTATGGTCAAAAATGAAAAAAATAGATGATTCGTTTACACTTCTCAGTGGGACTAATACCAAATTCGACCACTTATATAATGAGAAATAAAATAAAAAGTTCGATTTTTTGCAACTTAGATACTTGCAAGCACCTATGGCTACTGGCAAAATGATAGAGCCTTTGCTGAACTATATGACCTGCTATTCAAGTTTCAAAAAACCTAACTCTTATTTTTTCCCCTAATGTCCACGTTGTTGCCCACTGTGCATCCTGCATGACCTACTACAGCTATGCTGCCTGAGATACAAATCCAGCCTGAAGAAACAAACAATCAGAGATATTTCTATTTAAATAGAAAAAGCGCTTTTCTCCTTGGTAAATGACGCCCAAAACAAGATTTGAAGAAATAATATAGTCATAGACTGTACAATGACTTGACGTTTCACTCATATCCTTAGTCGATAAAGTATTCATTGATCCATTTGTTAGGAGAAAATAGTGAGCCTCAGTTTCTAAATCAAACTGGACATCCCGCTTCACCATCAGTAGTAGCTTTAAAATTTATTTCAGGGATATGGCTATCAATGCAGATAACCACGTTCTAACTCCATGTATTCTGATATCGAAACTTTTTTTCCTATCATCATTTTATAATCATAACAGTTATAATGACATCATTGTAATACCCAACGTGATACTATTATCTTCATCCTCTTTCTGCTTTTCCTTTCCTTGAATGAAGTGCCTATATACTTTTTGATTAAACTAAAGGTGTCAGAGACAAATGAATTCTGATTAGTACGTAGACAAATAAACATGACGTAGTGCATGTTCAGATTGGTCGTTGTATCATGCTGTATATTTCCATCGGAGAGAAGTGTTCGTATAAATTGAACTGATTTGTTCCGTCAATATTTGATATTGCTATACACAGACTTTTGTGTATTCGAATAACTATGAATTCGATTTTGATTAGAAAGCAAAATGTGCATCTCTGATAGTTTCAATATTACAACAGGAGTACAATGGGCGAGCAGATTATTCAGAACATTGTGCTGCAAACCCTAATATGGATAAAAACGTTTTTTCTGAAAATCGTTTTTTAGATTTCAAGATCTTTGTATTTCTCAAAAATCGCCACTCAGACAGATGACCGAGATTTTGAATTATTCTTAAAACGAAGTGGATACATAAGGCTACAACACACAAGAGCCCTATTTTGCAATTCTGGTCTAGTTTTAGACAAAACGAAAAATATCTGGAAAAATTAAATCAGCTGTTGGGACTCTTGACTTGTGAGCATACCAAAAAATACTAGAACAAAAACTCAAAACCGGTTTACGTTGTAGCTAGCTAAAAGTCTTTATTATTATTACTTATTATTACTTTATTTCAGGATCAAACAAAGATTTTTAGAGATTTTTGAAAAATACGAAAAGTAATCCCATGTTCACCTCTGATAAGCAGTTACTTAACGGAGCCGATTTATGAACAGCTAGGGCGCTCAAGAGCTTAGCAGGATCTTATCAAAGCCATATAAAAAAAATGTTGTTTGTATGTGGCTGGCTGGCGATGCCCACAGATTGCGACCGACACACATACAGACGCTGAAGTGTGACGGATACATAAAAGCGACATCTACGTGATGGACACACATACAAACTTAGTGTGGGGGAGGGAAGAGTTGTAACGGACAGGCATAGACACAGACGGTTAACGGAATGACAAACACACGGACGCACGTAACGGAAGGACATACAGACAGACAGGCGCGTAACGGTTACTTCTGCGTGACTAAGGGACTATCATACTGAAAGTCCTCGGTAACGGTCAGGTACACCGACTAACAGAACGCACGTACACACGGGCAAATGAGCGTGGACGGAGTGAGCGTGTCTCAACGTTTGACCTTCTACCGAAGCAAGAGAAGGAGCAGTATAGAACACTTATTCTTGAATAGACGAAAAATAGTAGAACAATGGAGTAAAAACACTCGAAAATAGAGACAATATAGGTGAGGCACTTTCTCAAAAGTCTTCTTCCGTTACACACTAGTTGAATCATCTTTGAAGTTCTACCTAGGTTACTAGAAAGCTGATTCGTTTCGGTACGAGTTGTCCTGTCCAGCTCAGCATTCGACTAGCCAGTGGGTGTAGTCCACTTTGTTGACACGAATTCTCTTTTACTCCAAATGCAAGAGTAAATCGATGATATAATCTGAACGGCATCATCATCCGGTGAGCCAAGTCGTGGCTGAGGACGTAAGCGTAACATGAAGCTAGGAGACCATTTACAAATACAGTTCCTATTTGGGAAAGAAAAGTCGTTAGTGGTGCTTACTATTCATGTAAGTTATATTCACTCACCAGATCCTGATAGAGGTGCATAATAGCCAACTTTGACTTCTTGTACGATGCTTATAACTTTTTCTTCATCTAATTCATCATTGAAAAGAGAGTCGTCGACTTTGACTTCTTTCGCTAATTTGTAAATCATTTTTGAGCCATATTTGTATGTTGATCGAATGGGAATTAAATGATTTCCACTCAAACTTATTTGTTTACCCGATTTAGTTGTTATGGTATAGAATTAAGCTAGTGAAAAATTATATAGTTTACAAGAGATTTTCTTTGTTAGGGGTATAGAAACACACTTTTTTTATTCGGATCACTATCTAACATTAAAACGAAATCGCTGTCTGTCGTTCCGGCGAGACGATCACTGGACTGCAGCTGTGCAATATATTTATAAGCACCGTCAGCAATTTTAATCTGGCTATCACCAGAAAAACATCCTATTGGAAGTAGAGATGGACATTAGACGAGCCAGTTAGATGAAGTTTTTTTTACAAAAGACTTTACTTTTAGCTGTGTCATTTGATGTGTTTGAAACATGTGGTGCAATAGTAATGACCGGTACTGTCGTTGTAGCATCTACCATTAAAAGTGTTTGTTTCTAAGTTACAAAAATCTATCTGAAAAACAATTTGTTGCGAAACATACTTGTGGCTGAATGTGTTCCGTTCAGTGTTATCGCACGTGTTGTGTTTCTCGCTGATGTTACATTTGCACCTGTGTTCGACGCTGCCGCCGTTGAATTTGCATTGATGACTAAGGCGGCTGTCGTTGACGCTACTGCGGTCATATTAATTATTGGTAGACAATTATTAGCCGAAAGAAATGACACTGCATAATTGAGTCCAGCTCCACATGTATCCAAGTTGGTATTGCAATTGTTTGTTGTACAATAGCAGAAAGCCGTTGGACAACGAGTCAAAATATTTGCGTTTGTTGTAAAACCGTTGTTTGTGACAGTGGAATTGCTACCTGGAAACAGAGTTAGTGCTTGCGTTGCACTTTCGTAAACTCTAATATTTGTTGTAGCATTGTACAAAGCACGTTCGAGAGCAAATGAATAAAGAAATGTTTCATAGTCCTCACACAGAGCCAATTGTGAAACCATGCCGCTGACATTATTGTAGTATAAAAAACACATGACAATATGAGTTGAGCTGTAGTTTACCCAAGCTGAATAATCAACGGATATTGTGTTGGGAATTGGACCACCGAAAGCCTGAGCTACAACAGACAGGGCGTACCTTCGTTTCATTCGCCCGTCATTGAACGTTTACTCTTGGAAAAAAGTGCACAAAATTAAAATTGCGTTCCGCCCCTACAGATTATGGAAATGTGCAGCATTTCTTACACACATTACTTTTAGTACGAACAAAGTGACAGACACGTAGACATAAAAGTTTTGTGGATACTCGTCTTCAGTGACTGCAGTCAAGAACTTTAAACAATTGTTCTAAAGAGGTGCTAGACGGATCGAGATATGGTGGCACAGCCATATTTTCCAGCAATCGATTGTATATTATATTTGTGGAACATTAGGCAATCCATTTAATTTCCCTACCGATAAAATAATTTCCGAATTATAAGTAACTGACTTATTACACCGGTCTCTGAACTTTCACATACTCAGTGCAAAATACAGTAGTTTTTACTTTTCTTTTTAGACTTACCGAAACCATAGCAACTGATATTTGTGGTTAAGATTGGTATGACAAGCGGTAGGCGAGCCGGTGGGTTTGCTCTTGTCTGATCGACAGATGACATACAGGACGATATGCTATTGCTACAATTGTTTGTCGAACACACGCAGAGAAATGTGTTCGTGCCAGCAAGTTCGTAGGGCCAGATACTGCAATTACCATAGCCAATATCCATTGAACGATTGAACCCACATCTGTAAAGA